ACTAATTAAACTCCCAACCTCTACCCTTACAAAAAGGTATTAAATAGAACTATAAAATATTGAATAGAACTAAATAGAATATAGACATTATGCATTATGACAATAAGTTGACAATCTAGACCAATAACAGTAATGCAATATTTAATTCATTATTGTTTTATACCTGATTTGAATCACCTATAAACAATTATTGTAATCAGTAGTTTAAAGACTATTTATTTATTTATAACTTTTCTCACTGATGTATTCAATAGCATGGAGGAAAATAAGCCCTTGCTAAACCAAATACCTTCACTTGCAGCTTCCGTTATTTTCATTGTGAAATCCTTTTATAACCTTATTTTCACTTTGATATTGCTAAAGAACACAGTATTTTTACTTCTGCTAATCCAGGCAATATATTTTCAAAAGGAAATTAATTATAATGAAATATGTATTATTTTATCCAAAACTTATGTGAAATTTTTACTTGGAACTTCATCACGCAAGTTTGCGGCTTCTTTAAGTAGCTCTTCACTTTTAGTACGGGCTCTTTTGGCTTGCTTTGTTAAAGCATCATCTGTTCCTGGGTATGCCTACATCAAGCAATGTTGAATGATGTCATTAATAGCTCTCGTAACTTTCACAAATTACATATAAAGATGCTTGTACAACTATATTTAGTAGTATTATTATTATACTGATTAGTCTAGTGAGATGACAAAAGGTTAAAATAATAAACTATATATTAACAAATTTATGCTACAATAACTATATTAGTGAATCAAAATATAGGGAACCGGGGGGGGGGGGGGGGTATGGGTTGCTGAAGCAATTTTTGTAAAATAACCGTAGCTAGCTACCAATATATAGGTATGTATACACATCTCGATTGTGTTTATGATTAATTTTTACCATTTCAAAAACTAAACATCATCAACATCTGGGGGCTGCACCTCCCAAAGCCCCTGTGTCAGGGATAGCCTACCAGGGCAATTTCAGATATCATTGCACCTCTAGGTTAATATATCTTCCTACACCTCTGTGAATAACAAGACAGATTTGTATTTTAGTAGTTTTGTTATCATGGTTTGATTGTTGTTAACAAAGGGATATCTGTTCTCTGTCCACCATGAGTATCAAACACCAGTTTTAGCATTGTAAGCCAGCAGATTTACTGAGAGCTATTATTGTGGAACATACTGTCGTTGTTACTAGTGGGTGTGTACTAAAATCAGGGTTCAACATAGCACACAAGCACTTCATCTCCACAAAAAATGATAGTTCATGGAGCTAATACATGGAAGGGCTGGTGTAACTATTTGTCATGTGAAATGAAAGAGCCATGTCACAGTGTTGAAGTCTGATTAAAACAGCTGGTGTAACTATTTGTCAGGTGAAATGAAAGAGCCAAGTCACAGTGTTGAAGTCTGATTAAAAACAGCTGGTGTAACTATTTGTCAGGTGAAATGAAAGAGGCAAGTCACAATGTTGAAGTCTGATTAAAAATAGCTGGTGTAACTATTTGTCAGGTGAAATGAAAGAGACAAGACACAGTGTTGAAATCTGATTAAAAATAGCTGGTGTAACTATTTGTCAGATGAAATGAAAGAGGCAAGTCAGTGTTGAAGTTGATTAAAAACAGCTGGTGTAACTATTTGTCAGATGAAATGAAAGAGGCAAGTCACAGTGTTGAAGTCTGATTAAAAACAGCTGGTGTAACTATTTGTCAGGTGAAATGAAAGAGGCAAGTCACAGTGTTGAAGTCTGATTGAAAATAAATCATTTTATCTTAAGATAAAAGAACTGAAGAATACAATTAATTGTTGGAGTGGAAGTACTACTGCATTATAAAGATGTAAACAGATAAGAATGAGCAAGTAGCATGCAGTTGAATATAATTACATGATCAGCAACTATGACATGTAAGACATGCAAGAGACTTTGATCTTGGCTCTCTCAAAGTAAAAAGCCAACTTTTCTCCCCAGTAAACCTTTTCTCTCTAGCTGATTGATCATAAAACAGGTACTGTAATACAGAAATATCTTTGCTCTGTGCAATAGCTACAAGGTATTTCTCCATAAATAAAGTAAAATACAACACAACTATCCAATGAAACAGTAGATAAATTCCTTGACTTGACAGGCTAAAGAAAGTAACACTTCAGGATAAGTGTTGTATATGATATCAACTGGATTAAGGATGTTCGAGATTATAGCTTTAAGAAATTCAAAAATATGTTGCTTAAGCTGAACTAAACCCACATCTCAATAGCTGATGATGAAGAACTTCTGGCAAATACAGAATCCTTAAAGCAGTAATTTTGAAAATACTTTTTATACTTTTAAGTTATTATAAAAAACAAGAGGGAATCCTCAATAGCTACAGCACTTTTTTTCTTTTTATTAGCTATATTTTTGTGCACCAGCAATACCAAGCATGGGGTGCCCATATACCCAATTCAATTATATTACTCATCAGGATCTCTACCAGCCTACCTTCAAATTGAATTTCCTTTAGGCAGGATTAGAGTAAATTAATCTACGAGACCTTGGGCACGGTCAAATATATCAATCAAAAGGGTTTGACCGTCTGAGTCCAAAACTGTAATTAGATCTCAAAATTGGTCAAGAGATGATGGAGCTTTCAGCTAAAAGTGTGTGCTTGAAAAAAACAACAAAAAAACTCAGAGCCATTCTACGAGCTGCTATACTGTGTTAAAATAGGAACACAACTTAACCACCGTAAATATTTTTCTTATACAAATAACAGTATCAAAATGCAAGTGTAACTTGCAAATAGCCTAAACACAAAGCCGAAATGTTAAATACACATAAAATGAATAAAGATCCAATATATCACACAAGAAATACAATAAGCTTCAGAAATGGAGGAAAAGATCAAATAAAAATCAGTCTTTTCAAGTATCAACCTTTTTTCATGGCAATACCAGTTCTATGTCCTTTTTACCCTGTTTACAATTAATAATATTGACTACCAATGAGAGCAAGTTGTGTACTTAGAGAAAAACCTAAAAATTAACATGGCCAGCAGTATAGCTAATTAAATATACTTTTCTTATGTATAACAATTACAATGCGTTGTTTCATTGTTTATGTACTCTTGCTGTTAACAATATTTTCGACCATAAACCCAATATCTCACAAGGTTCAGCCAGCTTAGGAGATTTAGGTTTATTCTAAATACAAATTCTAAGCTAACAATGCTAATTAATCTTTATAATACAAGTTTAATAAAATAAGTAATTATATTCAATAGTAGTACACCAATATCATTAATAAAAAGAACAATAAATAAACAAAATGGCTAACAGATTTTATGCAAATTATTTATTTTGAATTAATTTAACCATGTTGAATTTAGCATTTTTCCATGAAGCCCATTCAGCTTTACATATTAACTGTACATCAGGCCTGATGTTTTAAGACTTTTTTGTTTTTCATAATTCTTTGAATGATAACTTTTTTCTGTTTGGTGACTTAGAAATAATTAGTTTAACTTTTTCCCACCATAAACTTTGATAAACACTTATTTTTAACCATCATAAAAAATGACATCAGCACAATACATTGAGATCTTACCACATTATAAGCTCTTTCTGCAGCAGATTCAGCTTTCCTGGCAGCTTCCTCCGCTGCATTCAGTGCATCTACAATATCTTTGTATGCTTTTGCTGCTTTCAGTGGAAGGTCTGAAACTTCCTTTGTTGCACTAAAACGACTAGAGACATTTTAAGTAATTTAAACAAAATATTAAAATTTAAAAGAAATTGATTTATCTTTCTAAAATGCATAATTATCTTTTTTGTGTCAGTGTCAAATGTTTCCAAGATGTATTTTAATAGAACTTGCAAAATTTGTCAATATATATGGACACCATGATGAATTATAAATATCTTTAACTGTACAAAATGATTTTTGTACATAATTTATCTTAGTTTAATTTTAGCACTCATTCTGATGTTACATTTACCTTATGGACACATCCCTTCATTATTTTTAATTGATTGCACTTTTAACAAAATTATCTAAATTTTAAGCACAAAAATATTACAAAATGTTTGAATTAAAGTAATAAATTTACTAACAGTTTAATTTCTAAAGTTATGATTTAATGCATACATTTTCAAATACAAATACTACAAGATTTAGGTGAAGATACATGTTTATACATTGTTATTATGGTCATCTGAAAAATTTGATGCATTAAGTTGTTTTAAAAATTGTTAGGCATTTCCATATTTAATTACCATTTCTTACCCTTATTGTTTTATATTTTACAAGTCCACCACCCGTTTTTTCTCAGTTTTGGATCCTGCAAACATTTTCCCCTCTAATTTGATGATGAGTAACCCACTTTGAGACTAATAATGGCTGGAGATGGCTTGAATGGGTAATGAAGAAAAACTTTAATACAAGTTTAACATAACGGCAAATGTACAACGTTTCGACAAGGTTTCGTCATCATCAGGTACTCTTAATTACCCATTCAAGGTAGAAGACTATATTACAATAGTACAAAGCTGGTATTATTTCATATAGCTACACCTGCAAAATTCATAGAATTGTGTCTAACAATTAGGCACGAGTTTATTACGAATTCTGGTAATTAATACTTTGCAGTAATGTTTTGCTGAAAAAATATGCTTAAAAGAATATATCTATATATATCAGCATATCATAAATAGTAATTAGCGTACTGATAATTTCTCTGATCCTACATGCATGTGTTAATTTCAATACTCCAACTCAACCACA